ACTTCCCCTTTGCTGCCATCGCTCTTTTGCTTAGATATCTTGCTTCCAGCCCTCCTACCTCAGACCAGCTCACGGCTCATGGATAGGGCCCTACTAAACTCATGCCATGAAAAATGCATCACGGATGGTGAAATCTGGTCTCCCCTCTATGAAATCTGGTCTTATGTGTGCTTTTATCCCATACTACGTGCATTTCACAGGGAGAGCAGCATTTCTCAAATGGGGAAGGGAGGAGAGTCATGACAGGGAGTTGCAGGAGGTTTGCAAGGTTATTTTTTGAGGGGAAGGGTCGCAGTAGAGGATTATTCTAGGAGGGGTGGGTGAGATTCTGTGGCCTGCACTGTGCAGGGGGTCAGACTAGATGATCAAAATGGTCCCTTCTGACCTTAAAGTCTATGAGTCTATGAGTATTACCAACCTTCTTTCTGCAATTTCAAGCCTAACCTGCCATCGGCTGAAGCTCTTTTACACTCTCCTGGCCCTGTCTGTAGCCCTGCAGGCCAGGTGAGCCAACAGGTGTCAGCAACTTCCCTGCGTCTGTAGGCACCTCTTATGGCCTGGCTGTCTCCCCTGCAGCGTGCACGGCTGTCCTTTGGCCTTGCTTTGTGGGGCTGTTTGATGGCTGGACCCCGACCTGCACACCTGTAGGTCTCCACCGCAGGTCCTCAGCTCCCGTGGCAGCAAACCGGCATGGGAAGCAGAGTCTTGGCTCTCCGGCCCATCAGTCCTTGTGCTGGGCTATGGTATAGTCCAGCGCTGGGCAACCTAGGCTAGTGAGGGGCTGCATGAGGTGCCTCCTTCATCTCAGTGGGGCCACGAGAGTGTCGTAACCAAGATGGATTCCCAGGCAGGGCAGTTTTGCTCCTGGCGCTTGTGTACCTAGAATGTGCGGAGGTGTTGACTGAACCGGAGCAGCGCTGGGACTGGCTGCAGAGGCAGCCCACAGCTCTCACAAAGTTGCGTGCAATCAGTGCACCCCTCACATCACCTGCCCTTGCTTATATGCACATCCCTCTGGTAGGAAAAAAACCCTACGTGGACAGAAACCCGCAGAATCTGTCTTGGGGGCCACACATAGAACCCTGATGGGACCCACACCCGCTCTAGTCCCTGATCTACACTAGGGAGTTACTTCAAAATAACCCCCCGTATTTCGAAATAATAAGTGGGGCATCCACACTACCAAGCCCAATATTATTTCGCAATAAAGGGCTGGTTATGTCGAAATCTGTACTCCTGCGTTCCTCGGGAAAGAAGGCTAATTTCAAGAGTTATTTCAAAATAGCGGTAGTGTGGATGCTCCGCTGCTGCTATTTCGAAATAACTAATCCCCAGAGGAATTTGAATTACTCCCCAGTGCTTCTTGGGACTCTAAGTCAAGGTACTGCATCCACAATAATGGAGCCTGCCTCAGATTAATTTGCAGGCTCCCCTGTAGTGTGGATACGCTACTTTGATTTTGTTATTTCAGGAGTTATTATTTGAAATTTAGTTACTTCAAAATAGTTTCCCAGTGGAGACATGCCCTAGGAGGGTGTTCAAGGAGGGTGAGGGTTAGATTCTCTGACGCCCACAGGGGACCAACCGCACAGCAGGGGGCAAGCAGAAGACCCAAACGGACCCTGTAGCATGGACACATAAGATGTGTCTAGACTACAAGGCTTTTTTTCAAAAAGTGGCCTTTTTTAGAAAAAACTTCCCCTGCACCTAGACTGCTGCTGCGTTCTTTCAAAAGTAAATTGAAAGAACGCTGCAGGTTTTTTTTACTTCGGAAAAACTAGTTTTATGAGTGAATGCAAACAGGATTTTTTTTCGAAAGAGAGCATCCAGACTGCATGGGTGCTCTCTTTCGAAAAAGCGGCTTGCTTTTTCAAAAGAAGTGGTTGCAATCTAGACGCTCTCTTTCGAAAGAGGCTTGTAGTCTAGATGTACCCCTAGTGTTGCCAGGAGAGACCAAAGGCCTGGGAGTTAACTTCCCCTCTAGCCCTTGGGGGACCATGTTGGGACACAGCTGAGGGGATTCCAAAGCTGCCCATAAGGCTAACACAAGAACTAGGGGTCACCCAATGAAATTAATAGCCAGCAGGTTTAAAACAAACAAGAAGTATTTCTTCACTCAGCGCCCAGTCAACCTGTGGAACTCCTTGCCAGAGGATGTTGTGAGGGCCAGGACTTTAACAAGGCTCCAAAAAGAGCTAGCGAAATTCATGGAGGATAGGTCCATCCATGCTTATGAGCCAGGATGGGCAGGGATGGAGTCCTTAGCCTCTGTTTTCCAGAAGCTGGGAATGGGTGACGGGGGACAGATCACTTGATGATTCCCTGCTCTGTTCATTCCCTGTGGGACACCTGGCAAATAGGGCACAGGGCTAGATGGGCCGTTCTTATGTTCATATCCCTGGGGCACCTGAGAAGTGCAGAGCAGAGTGAAGCTTTCAGGGGATGAGCCACATTCTCCACAGATGGAGAGGGTCACCTCAGAGGCACAACGCCCCGCCCCCCACCGCTAAACAGGAGAGAGACACATACCCCCCTGTGCCAGGAGCGAGAAGCTGGGCAGAGGATTTCCAGGGGGAGCATGGCGTACAGGGGAGCATGGCATACGGGAGGGAGGGGTTAACGGTAAGGGGAGCCTCCCCCTGCCATGCCGGGCTTGTGTGCAATGGGGAAAGTCATCCAATGCAGGAGGCAAGCTCCGGAGAGCACGTCCCGCCACCCGTCAGCAACCAGGAATGGTGTGAGGCAGCTCCTACTCTGACGCTAGCCCAGCTCTGGCTGCGACCATCACCAGGGTGTCTGGGCATTGCTGCTTCTCTCCCTCCCCTCTGAAAGAAAGGAAGGGCTGAGCCTCCCATGGGATACGCAGAGGAGAGCAGAAGCCAGAAGAGACCCAGTTCTCTTTCCTCAATGCAGGGATCCTGGAGCATTCACACACCACAGGAAATAGCAGACCCCCGCCCTGAACAGCCCTCTGATCCAAACACCCCACTCCTCTCCCACTGGGGTTGCAAGTATAATCACCCACCGGGCAGATTTGAACTTGGGACCTCTGAAGCAGAGTATAGGAGTCTCTACCCTCTGAGCTAAAAGCCAGCTGCCTCACAGCCTGTGCTGTAAAAGTCTCTTGTTCTTAGCCGTTGCTGTGGTCTAAATGCCACTGCATGGGCCAGTGACCCACAGTAGGTGTGAGGGTTACATAAGCAGCACTCGCTGCTTCCGGCGAACAGGCCCGATTTGCCCCACACCCTCCCGACTCCCCACCTGCTCTGCTCCCCCACCAAGAAATACACCCCCGAGCCAGGCTGTCCAGTGGTCTCCATTTCCTGATATTGGCATGAACACGGGCACACGTCAGCCGATGCTTTATTGGACAGATTAGTGTAACCAGGGACGGAAGCCAGAGCACAAGGAGACTCGGGAAGACGACAGTGGAGTGGGCTGCATCTCCACACACACCCCCCACCGGCGGGGTTCACAGGCGAGGCTCCGGTATGTGATATATTCCAAGCTGCCCCAGTGTGCTAGGCTCTGCTGGACACAGAGACCATCCATCCCCTGCAAAGTCCCCCCGGGGGAGTAGACAGGACAGACGGGAGAAGGGATGAGCTGCTATCTCCCAGCACAACATCCCCGCCACGAGGGCCGCGAGTCTCCCTCTGAAGAGCTTCCCTGGACTGAAGGGAAACTTTCCCAGGCAGATGGACCATCTCATGCTGCTCTTTCGTGATTGGTGGTTGCTCGGCGCCGGTTTCCATGGTACGAGCGCTAGGAACAGCAGGTGGCTGGGACTCTGCATGGATGCCTACCCACAATTAGCCCTTTGAGGCCGGAACAGCTACCCCACGCGAGTCTCCCTCTGAAGAGCTTCCCTGGACTGAAGGGAAACTTTCCCAGGCAGATGGACCATCTCATGCTGCTCTTTCGTGATTGGTGGTTGCTCGGCGCCGGTTTCCATGGTACGAGCGCTAGGAACAGCAGGTGGCTGGGACTCTGCATGGATGCCTACCCACAATTAGCCCTTTGAGGCCGGAACAGCTACCCCAATGCACACCCGCATCTCTGCCATTCGCTTGCTACTCTGAGCTACCCTGGGCAGCGTCTTCAGGCGGACGAGAGACTCACTCTCCTTCCCTGGTGCCAGATTGGGCCCTTTTCTTCTTGGGCCAAGCAGGGTTGCTGGGGGCATAGCAAAATCTCCCAGATCTCGGGCTGCTGCTCCCTAGATGTTGCACAAGCAAGCGGACATGTGCCCCATACCCGGGGTGAAAATAACTTAACATTTCTTATCAGCACTGTCCTATGGTAACCTGGGTCCCTGCCGGCTCTTTAAATAGCTTCTGGCTGGCTTTTGCCGCAGCTCAGCCGGTGCTTGCCGGAGCTGCGCACCCGCTCGCTTTCACCTCCGCTCGTATCAGGCCCTGCCTTAACTCATCTGCCCTCTGGAGCAAACAGGACTGGACTCCTGTCTCCGATTCCTGTTTGAGGACACTCCCAGTGGGGTCCAGCCCCACCTCGCAGCGCCTGCCTGAGCTTCAGGTGAGCTTTTCTGCCAGCCACGCGCCGCGTGGCTCTGGTGCCTTCCCATATTCATTCTCCCGCAGGTGCACCGCAATCTGACTGCCCTGTCCGTGGCCACAGAAACCCGCATTCCCCTCACTCAGCCAGCCAACCGTCAGGGGAAAGCCAACCCCCCGTCGCCCTCTCCCCACCTCCTGTGGCTTCCTCTCTCCCCCCACGCGACAGCACCATCTGCTCCGATTCCTCCCTCAGAGAACTTCCCTCCCTCCAAGGATCACCGAGAGAACGGGCCCCTGGATCCACCACCTCAGTCACGTGTCGCAGGGCTAAATGGAACCGATACATAGATACACGCTGCACCTCCCAGCCCCCGGGCTCTGCAGCATCACGCGGCGAGGAGACGCCCCTGCCCCCGGGGGAGGCCGCTTTCCGGCGTAGGCTTCTCCACAGTCGGGCAGCCTGGCTGAGACGCGGGCTTCTGGGCCCTGCTGCATTCCCCCTCTCCGCCCTCTGGCTCTGCAGTCGGCGAGGGGGCTGGAGGGCCGCGTCCCCCCTCGCCGGCCACACGGGCTCCGTCGGTCGTCCCCTCGCAGGCAGGGCAAGCCGGGCCGCACTCAGCACTGTTCCCCCAACCCCCGGCAAAACAGCTAGCGACGTCGCCGGAGACTCAGCGGCCCGTCTTGCACGGGTGGCAGCGTCCCGGCTGCAGGTCCTGCTCCTCCCAGAGTCCGATCCTCCGCCTTCCGCCGGGTTCCTCCTGCCCCGGGCAGCCTGGGAGGGCTTCACACACGAGGATCCGGGGGTGGGGAGGGGAGGGGAGTGTCACAAGGCAGGCTACAGAGCTGGAGAACGGGTCTTCTCCCATTCGGGTTCGTGGGTGGACCGGAGACCATTCAGCTAGAGAGGCGACGGGGGCACGTGGTGCACGTCAAAGCCCTTGGTAAGCTCTGATACTCCACCTCCTCTGGCTCCTGTGGGAAAGAGAGAAGCCTCAGGGCGTGGCCAGCAGGCTCTTGCTCACCGCCTCTGGGCCACCAGCATCAGCAGGACACGACTGATCCGACGGGCTCCCATGCTCAGCTGGGGCACACAGCCCCCTCCCCACAGCTACCCTGATTGACACCGCGCACGACACCCATTGGACATCACAACGGCCCATGATCCCTGGCATGGCTCTTTTCACTGCTCTCTTCCATTTCCCCACCCAACCTGCTCGTGGTGCAGGAGATGGGTGAGCGGCCAGGTGGGAGGGGAGGGGCTGTTCTCTTCTCTCCCTCCTGCGTGGGAACCCACCCAGCCCTCTGCCAGCAGCAGGAGCAGCTGGGGTCAGCAGCTCTGAAATCCATGCAGGGCTGCTCTAAGGATTTATGGCAGCACTGTTAAACTGGTACCCCTCTGCCCAACGGCAACTGGGGAGGGGAGGGGGCGGTTTTTTAGTTTGCAGCACACAAATTAAATCTTTGTAAAACAAATTTTAAACCCAGGTCCTGTCGGCTCACACAGGAAGTTCAGAAACTGACAGTATCTACCTGGGGCAGGCCTGTGACATGCCTTCATTCCCCCTTGGCTGGCTTCTTCGGCTAATAGCCCTGGCCAGCTGTGTCACTTTTAAGTTAATTAGATCCTCTCCGGAGGAAGCAGAACCACAGAACGGGGACAGGAGGAGGAGGGGTGGGTGAACATTAACTCCCAGGAGTGCCCCACATTTTCGGGTGCCTTAACCAGTGTTTCTCAAATTTTTTTTAATCAAAACAAAAAACAGGACTATGTAGCACTTTAAAGACTAACAAGATGGTTTATTAGGCGATGAGCTTTCGTGAGCCAGTCTCACTTCCTCAGATCAAATAGTGGAAGAAAATTGTCACAACCTTATATACCAATTGTATCCTTTGGTATATATGGTTGTGACAATTTTCTTCCACTACTTAATCTGAGGAAGTGGGTCTGGCCCACAAAAGCTCATCATCTAATAAACCATCTTGTTAGTCTTTAAAGTGCTACATAGTCCTGTATTTTGTTTCAGCTACACCAGACTAACACAGCTACATTTCTATCACTATTTTTTTTATCAAGTACCCCTTTAAAAAAGTAAGTCCCCTTGGTACCTACAGTTTTCAGACACATTTTTTTCTACCCTTGCAACACATTTGTTTAAACAACTTAACCGTAGCGAGGAGGGCGATGACATTTTTGGGTGTAAAAAACTCCCTATAGGAGTTGCTATAGGGAACTTTCTGGGTGTCTGGCTGGTGAGTCTTGCCCACATGCTCAGGGTTTAGCTGATCGCCATATTTGGGGTCGGGAAGGAATTTTCCTCCAGGGTAGATTGGCAGAGGCCCTGGAGGTTTTTCGCCTTCCTCTGTAGATTTGGGCACAGATTACAGCTGAAGGACTCTCTGCATGTTGGGTCCTTCAAAGTATTTGAATGCTTCAATATCTGAGATATAGGTGAGAGGATTATTCTAGGAGGGGTGGTTGAGATTCTGTGGCCTGCACTGTGCAGGGGGTCAGACTAGATGATCATAATGGTCCCTTCTGACCTTAAAGTCTATGAGTCTATGAGGAAGGAGAAAAATTGTTCCTCTTGGTTTCTGAGGACAGGACAAGGAGTAATGGGCTTAAAGTGCAACAGGGGAGGTTTAGATTGGACATTAGGAAAAAATTCCTAACTGTCAGGGTGGTCAAATATTGGAATAAATTGCCAAGGGAGGTGGTGGAATCTCCCTCTCTGGAGATATTTAAGAACAGGTTAGATAGACATCTGTCAGGGATGGTGTAGACGGAGCTTGGTCCTGCCTTGAGGGCGGGGGGCTGGACTCGATGACCTCTCGAGGTCCCTTCCAGTCCTATTATTCTATGATTCTATGATTCTAAGTTCAAAAATAATAAAGCACAGTGTAACTTCAAACAAAAATTCAGTTTTCTCCAAATTTCAGTGAGGTTGACGTACCCCCCAGACTTCTCCCGCGTACGCCTGAGGGGACTCGTCCCACTGGTTGAGAAACACTGCCTTACACCATTGCGTAGTCTGTGCTTGGCTGAGGATGAATCTGAAACTGATCTGTTAATCAGGTTTTCCGCTCCCCACACTCAGCTGGTCCCATTTTCCTCAGCAAGGGTGGGAGGGGAGTTTGCATTGTTCTCAAGAAGTGAGGAGAATCTTCCATTCCCCCATGGGAGCTGCCCCAGTGCTTTTGAAAGTTCAGCGTGTCCAGCTGGGACCTGCTGTGTTCCAGGACAGGGGATGCTTCTGGAAATTATTTGGCCCGAAGGCTGTGACGTAGTGGGGGTACCTTGCTGGTTGCTATGCTGGGCAGTGGGCTGTGGGTGACCTCCGCTGGCTGCTGGCTGCAGCACGGCCCAGCAGGGCAGGGGATGAGTCATTATGCAAGGGGGCTTCGAACCTGTCCGGCCAGTTATCTCCCAGGGAGCGAAACAATGGGAAGAAGGCGGAGTGGAGCCCTGGCAGGGAGGCAGAGCCGGGAGTTAGTTAGTTAGTTTCGGTCTGGGAAGCAGGGGAGAAGGGGCTAGGGAGGGGGGTTGGGACTGTAGGGAGGGGGGCTGAGGCATCCTAGCCCCAGTTCCTGGAACCAGATGACACCTGTGCTGTCTGTATCCTGGAGGAGCAATAAACTTCCTCTATTCTACTGGCTGGCGGAGTCTGTTCGTGCCACTACAGGGGTGCAGGAGACGGGGAAACCCCAATGCGCCGTCACAAAGGCCTCGTCCATCTTCAGCACCGCAGCGACTGGAGGGAAGGAGCGATCGGCAACTCATTCAGCTACCTGTGTGGACGCTCGTACTCTGATTTGAATCTGGTTTGTAGTGAGTGAGTTCGCCAGCTCCTCATCCAGTTCCGCTAATGCGACAAACCAGATTTAAAATGAATTAAGAGCGTCCACTCGGGGGCTTGCATGAGTTTAACTCAGCTGGTTTTTCAAGAGGTTTAAACAAAACCACTGGGACTTTGGCAACAGACAAGGCCAGCCCCTCTACAGGTGGCCCTTTGGAGAAGGCAACGTGGCCTAGTGGATAGAGCCATAGGTTGGGACTCAGCATGCCCAGGATTATATTCCTGGCTCTGTTAGTGGCTTTCTGGGAAGTCATGGCATTACCGCGTGCCTCAGTTTCCCCATCAGTGAGATGGAGTTAAGGACACTGACCTCCTTGGTAGGGTGCACTGAAATCTATGAACGAGAAGAGCTAGATCAGTGGTCCCCCACCCTTCATGGCTGCCGGGCGCCCGGGGGCGGGGTCACTCACAGGATTATATTCCTGGCTCTGTTAGTGGCTTTCTGGGAAGTCATGGCATTACCGCGTGCCTCAGTTTCCCCATCAGTGAGATGGAGTTAAGGACACTGACCTCCTTGGTAGGGTGCACTGAAATCTATGAACGAGAAGAGCTAGATCAGTGGTCCCCCACCCTTCATGGCTGCCGGGCGCCCGGGGGCGGGGTCACTCACG